TATATATATATATATGAAAATATAACTCAAAATACGAAAAAAATATGCGATACAATCTACTCTATAACTGTGATGATGATTTTTAAGTGGAGGCCTGCAGTCCACTTTGATGGGCCAAAGTGGCCTTAACCGGCCCACTAGATTGGGCCTTTTTCTTACCCATAAGTACCAATTAAATAAATAATGAGAAGAATGCATTTCTAAAGTATTTACTTTACACTTTTTCAAAAATACAAAAACATGTTTGAAAATTCACAAATCAAAATTTTCATAGATCACAATTTGTTCATCGGTCGCAACTTAAAAATTTAACAGTCACAATTTGTTCATCGGTCACAATCACAAAATTTAAAAGTTATGTTACTTATTTTATGGTCACAAACATCAATTTATTGGTCGCAAATAAAAAGTTTTTAGGTCACATAGCTTGTACTCGTCACTGTTTATCGAATTCATTGGTCACAAACCGACCAACTTATTGGTCACAAACAATCAAATCATTTGTGACCATCAACAAATCATTTGTGACCACCCCTTCGCCATTGACTCCACCAGCGGCGCTACCATCGTCGACGCATCTTCACCACCATCGCGTGTAGCATGACCACACCCGCCGCACGCCGCACATCTAACCATCACACAGCAACATCGCAACGATCACACAAAAAACAACACAACCATCGCACAGAAACGCACCACCGCACTCAACAAGAAACACACCCAAAGCACATGATCACCATCGCCGCATAAAACACACACACCCAACCACCGCAAAACACCGGAACCACAGCCAACACTGGATATGCAACGCCAGAACGGATCCGTACTGAGATGGTGTGTGATTAAGGCTTGTGAAGTGACCTAATTTTACCATAAGCAGAAATCCGGCGAAATGGATAAAAGTGAAAGAGATGGTGTGTGATTAGAGTTTGTGAAGTGAAATGCGATGGAGGTGGCGGGCATACCGTGGATCCAGACAAAGAGAGAAGTGAGGGAGTGAAGAGCAACAGAGAGATGAGGGGGAACAATCGTGGGCAGCCATGGCGAAGGGATGCAGCGTCGGGGCTCCTACGGGCGACGGGGAAGAGAGAAGACTAACGGAGAGAGGGGGAGTCCAGACGAAAGAGACGAGAGGGAGAGTGAAGACGAGAGAGGGAGCATCGGCGGCGGACTGCAATGTCGACGGCGGTGGACTGTAGTGTCGATGGTTTCTGTGAGAAACGGGAGAGAGAATGAGTATGAGGGGAGGAATTGGAGAGTAGGTGAAATGAATTTTAGGGTTGATTTGTGTTTTTTAATTGGGATGAAAAATATATAATTAATATTAAATTAAATATAAGAAACCTGATTTTTGAAAAGTTAAACTTGGGATGAGATTTATGAAAATGGAAATCTAAAATTAGGGTTAAGTGTAATTTCCTCATAAATAATTGGCTCAAAGGTCCAAATACAAAAGAGACACGAATCTGCAGAAAATGACAAGGCTGCACCCTTCAGTCAAAAAGCACCACTGACCAAAAAAGTTGCCTATTCCAGAAAGAATAATCGACTGCACCAACTGAGGTTCCCAAGGAGTGACTAAAATTTAAAATGAAAGCTGAAATTTGAATTTTATATCAACACTTATACATAAACAATACATACAACCCCAAGAAATGAAGCTTCTACAATCCACCTTCACCTGCAAAAGACGTTCCGTTCCAATTAGATGCTGAAGATCCAAACTGAAGCTAGAGGCTAAGCTGGACTGAACGAACACAGTTGAAAACAGATTAGCCCACACCACACGAAGCTGACCAAGAATCAGAAATAAATTGCACCCAGAAAGAAGCTGGACTGAAAACAGACAGAAACCAACCAACTGTGAATCTGCCAAGGGGCGGACGCAGAACTTTAGCGTTGGGGGGCACAATCGAATTTCAAAGAAGTTGGAAAAAATTTTACAATGGAAAATTCACGTTCAAAAAAATCACACTCCATGTAATTTTACATCTAAAAATTTACATGGTATATGACTTTTTCAGATGTAAAATTTCCCAATAAAATGATGAAAATTACATTAAGAAATTCATATCGCAAAAATAATAAATGTTAATGAAATAATTGAATTTTTTTTATTAAAAAAATGCGAGTTAGATGTCTTTTTAAATGTTCACGTTTAACGTATTTTTAACTATTTTCGATATATGTTTGAACTATTCGATATGTCCATAATGTAATTCTTGAAATAAGCTTCGAAATGATATAAACAATTTATAGATTTGATTAGCGTACTATTTAAATTTCAATCGATACCAAACGTGATTTTATATATAAAAAAAAAAGAATCTCAAAAGTTGGAATTGGGGGAGGGGGGGAGGGCATGTGCCCCCCGGACCCCCTTGGGTCCGCCCATGAAGCTTCCCGAAGCACACACAAACAGGCTGGAAGGTGAAAGATCTACCCCTAAATCCAAGTCGTCCAGCACCGCCAGAAATTGTAGAGGACCAGACAAAACAAACGACCCTTGAAACTGTCCAAATTGGAAGGGGGAACCCACTTGCACTTGCAGCTAGTGATGGTGATGGACTGAAACCACAATTGACCACAAACCAAGCAAACCTGAAAAGAAATTCATCCCATAAATTTTTTTGGTTTCTTCCTCACTTCAGAGCATTTTTCCGACGGAGCCCAACACGCATGACTGCGGAGGTGTCGTATAGGTGGTGGAGACTTGTATTATTTACAATGACATAGAGCCTGTTTGGTAGGGATTTTTGGGGGAAGAATTGATTTTTGAATAGTGATATGATGGGAAATGTGTGGTTGAAAAAGAAAAAAAATTATTCATGTGATGGAAAATATTATTTTATTGAAGAATGTGTGATTGAAAATGAGAATTGATTTACTGTAGAAAATCAAAATCCATACCAAACAGGTCCATAATAACATATTTGCGGTGCTTAAAAGGATATTTTTTTGGCAAGCATGAAATTACAGTTTAAAATATGTTGGCACCAATTATGCCTTGTGACCTATAAATTTTACACTGTTCATCACAACGTAGATCAAAAAGGGAATGGACGAATCATCTCATTATCTTGATGGTCTAATATCTGCATGAACAACAAAAACATGAAATGTAGGTGTTCAAATATGTGAGTTTGTCTAATCGAGCTTATCAACTATGTCATAAAAACCTAAAATTAAACACGAAATGAATATGAATTGATATAACTTTCAGATGAAAATAAGGAGATGATGGTAAAAGTTAAAGGAGAAAAATAATTTGACAATAATTACAATAATGGCATGTATGACCATCTCGCCAAAAATTTTCTCATCAAGCACAAAATAACCCTATATTAGCTAATTTTGTAAAAAATTTGGGCTAGAAATAGAGAAAGAGGGCAGTTTGATAAACCATTTAAGTGTCTTTGAAACCGAGATCATAATAATAGTGAATATGAGGTTAAAAAGTAAGGTAAAATTATATAAAAAAAAATGAAAAATATTTTTTTCCCGAATAATGTGTGATTTGAAGTGCGTGTGGGAGGAAGGATTCCCAAAAATATAAAAATCAAATAATGGCTAATTAAAAGACTCACTTATATTCACTTTTCAGGATTGAATGACTCGGTTTAATTAAAATTCCTAAAGCCACTACTTCCATGAACTCGAGAAGATTGTTATTCCAACCTCCAATCTTTGATTTGAATATAATAGCTCAGAAATTATTTACTTAGATCTCTCACAAATACGTATTTGATATAAAATAAAATAGGATCGTTTTCCAACTTCTCACAAAACTTATTCTTTACTTGTAACTCATGAAACAAATAAAAATGAATTTGATAATGAAACCATGTGAGGTCACACTTGCTTCTTTCATTTAGCATGCAATAAATCTTCTTCCTTAATTCACATATGTCCATGATTTTTGGATCCAAAGTGTTCGTTTTTTAAGGTTGAAGATCTAAATGCTCACTTGTCCAAAGTACGAGGAAGTTCCTCTAATTTTTCCTCGTAAAAAAAATGCGAAGTAGAAAGAGAAGTGGAAATCTGAACATAGGAACTTTCCAATTCTCCCTACAAATACACTGATAGACTCTCATTTTCAATTCAAAAATAGAAAATAAAAATGGCAGAGCTAGCAGAAACATATGCGTGCGCCCCCTCAACGGAGCGGGGCCGGGGGATCCTAATCTCGGGCGACCCCAAATCCAATTCGATCCTCTATTGCAACGGCAGATCCGTAATTATCCGGTACCTGGACCGGCCATTGGAAGTCAAGGTGTACGGCGAGCACGCATACCCTGCCACAGTTGCTCGATACTCTCCGAACGGCGAGTGGATTGCTTCAGCTGACGTGTCCGGAACTGTCCGGATCTGGGGGACCCACAATGATTTTGTATTAAAAAAGGAGTTCCGGGTCCTCTCGGGTCGGATCGATGACCTCCAGTGGTCACCCGATGGACAGCGCATTGTCG